TGAGGGGCCAGGGTAAGCACGTGCAGCCCCGTGCATGCTCTACTGAGGCGGCGTCATGCCAGCCGGGCACGTGCATGCGCGGCCGCCTCGGCGCAATGCGCCGTTTCCAGACACCTCGACAGCCGCCGCAGCCACCCTGCGCGCAGCACCCTCGCCCCTCTCAGCGCCTGCACTAGGGGCTGGCTCTCACCTGCCTGCACCTCCCTCCCCTCTCCTGCCCCTGCGCCAGGTGGAGGACCTGCTGACGCTGCTGGAGCAGAGGGCGGCGCTGTCAGAGGACCTCAGGGCCGCCACAACGGCCGCGCCCGACACAGCCCTGCGCTTCCTGCAGCCGGGCCGCCTGGTCAAGGTGGCCGCGGGGCCGCCGGACCCGCGGCGCCCGCTGCCGCAGCTGGGGCCCGTGCCGAAGGGCGCCTCGCTGGAGGACGCAGCGGGGGGCGGGGACGCTGCAGCGGGCGGCGCGGCGGGTGGCGGCAGCGGCGTCGGCGGCAGCGGCTCGGACGACGAGACGGGGGATGCAGAGGGCGCTGGGCACGAGGTTGTGTCACTCGGTGACGTGCTGCGGAGAGTGGACGGGTGGGTGCGGTTGGGCAGTGACCGGACGTATGGGTGTGTGTGGGTGGGGGGTGGGCGGTTGTTAGGTGGGGTCATTGCAGGGGTGTGCATGGCGCTTGCCAGAGTTGGATCCGCGCAACACCCGGCTGCACATCTACAAGTGACGATCCCCCTCCTCCCATCTCTTGGCACATCCACAATCACAGCGCGTCGTGGGGTGTGCTCATCAGCTTCGAGAAGGCCGGGAAGCACAAGCAGCCCGGCGGCGGCGGCGGCGCGGCGGCGGGCGAGCTGGGCGAGGACGGTGACGGCAGCTCGTTCAGGGGCAGCGGCGGCGGCGCGCAGGCCAGGGGGCCGCGTTTTGTGGTGGACGTTCTCGTATCCTGCGACCCGTCCACCCTGCCGCGCGGCCAGCAGGGCGGGCAGCAGGGCGGCCGCGCGCTGCCGCGGCTGACGGCGCCGGGGGCGGCGGGGTCGAGCGCGCAGGTGGTGACGTTCCCCTTGGAACACCTGGCTGCCCTCAGCAGTGTGCGCATCAGAGGGCTGCAGGACCTCAGGACACAGCAGGTGGGAGGACAGGGGCCGCGTTTAGTACAAGGTGGGGTGTGACATCCAGAAAATTGGTGTGGCCCAACAGCCGGGCAGTCTGCTGCTTGTGGAGGGGCGCGGCGAGCCGGAAGCATCCGTTCCAGCTTGGCCCCCGTTTGCGATTGCCCTTCCCCTCAAACACATACCAGGCGCGGGATTCGCTGATCGGCAGCGCTGCAGAGGCGCTGCGGCGGCAGCCGGGGGGCGAGCCTCCCCAGCTGGACCCTCAGAGCGACATGAAGGTGCCGGCCGGGGGCGTGGCTGTGTGCCCCAGGAACCTGACTGGATAACAGCGCCACATCCCAGACAGAGCAAACAATCCTCAGCCTTATGCACTACATCGTGCTTTTGGGCCCTTAGTCAAGCATTGACTTACTCTGCCTGCGACCTTGAACACATGCGCACACAACTCACCTGTTGACCCAGTCATCCCACTACCGCCGACCGTACCTGGCACGTCCCGCCCCCCTCCCCTCCCAAGGCTGGCGGCAAGGAGGTCAAGGGGCTGGTGCGGCGGCTGGAGTCCCTGGACGACCGCATAGCCCGTCACCCCCTGGCCGCCAGCCCCGCCCTGGCGCGCCTCCTGGGCGCGCTGCAAGCCAAGCGCGCGCTGGCCGCGGCCGCCAAGGTGGCCAGGCGGGAGGCCAAGGCGGCGGCGGGCCTGGTGCTGTCGGAGGAGCTGAAGGCGCGGCAGAGGCTGCTGCGGCGGCTGGGTTATGTGGACGACGACGGCCTCATCACGGCCAAGGGCCGCGTGGCCGCAGACCTGCAGGTGGGCCAGGGCGTGGCTGGGGTCAGGGGGTCAGGGTGTGTGGGCGTCGCGGGCGCCGGAGGTTGCGGCTAGGATTGAGGGTGGCAAGGGCGGGGATTCTGCGCTGTCGCAGGCAAGTGGAGCGGGGCAGGAAGGGCCCTGGTCAGAGCTCAGGCAGGCTGACGGGCCAAAAAAAGTCGTGTGGGCACCTGGCCGACCTGGGACAGCCTGCCACACACTTGACATATGCCTGCCTCTACCCCTGTCCATTCCGCTGGTCGCCAGTTGTTTTTCCCGTTGATCACCCGCTATTCTTTGGCCCCGCCCTGACCCAGGCCTTTGCATCCCCCCCTCCCTCCCTCCCTCCCTCCTCTCCCCCCCCACATGACATCAGTCTGGTGACGAGCTGGTGCTGACGGAGCTCATCTTCAGCGGCGCCTTCAGCAGCCTCACCACAGAGCAGCTCGTGGCCACAGCATCCTGCTTCGTCTGGCAGGAGAAGCGGGAGGGCGGCGTCAGGTACCCGGCAGCTTCACGCGGCCTTTGTTGCAGCAGCGCAGACCAGACATCTCTGGTCTGCGCTAATCCTCACCTCCTGGCGACATTCATATGTGGTTTTGCAACTCATCCAGCCTGCTCGAACACCTGATCTGAATGTGCGCCTGTTTCTTTCCCTCCTGGACGCCCCTAAGTCTCGTGCCAACTTCACCCCACCTGCGGCTGTCCCCGCCCCCGCCTCCCCCTCCAGGTTGCCCAAGGAGCTGCAGGGCCCGCTCAAGGCGCTGCAGGACACAGCGCGGCGTGTGGGCAAGGCGGCGGCGGACTCCAAGGTGGCGCTGGACCCCCAGGAGTACGCTGACTCATTCAGGTGGGGCGCGCCCTGCACACGCCAGCGCACGCATGCGTTCTGTTCTGTTTGTAGCGGAGTAGGGCTCTGTTCAAAGGTCTGAGACACAAAGGGGCGTCTGCCTTGGCGGCGGGGTCAAACTGTGCAGGCCTGCGTGCGTGCGTCATCCCAATTTGTGGGTCCACAATAGCGTATCCTCATCACAGCGCACGCGATGACGCTGCCGGTGCTTCTCCTCTGTCCCCGCTGCCCAGGCCCGAGCTCATGAACGCGGCGGCAGCATGGGCGCGCGGACAGCGATTCGCCGAGGTGGGTTTGAGGACGAGTGCCGGGGTTGACGTTGCCCGCACGATTTGGAGCTTAGCCCGCATTGATGTGGGATGGGTGCGTGGGACTGCCGTTCATTCAGCCGTCTGTACAAGTCAGGTTGGTCCTTTGTGGGTGGGGTGCGGCCTTGCGCCCCTTAACAGTGTTCCACCCCGCCCCCCTCTCCCTGCAGGTGATCAAGATGGCGGAGGTGTTTGAGGGCAGCCTGGTGCGCGCTGTCAGGAGGCTGGAGGAGCTCCTGCGCCAGGTGAGGGCGGCGGCGGCCGGGGTGGGGGGGGCCTGCGTGCATGCGTGATGAGTGGGTGTGCATGTCTTGGGGAGAGGGCGTTGTATGTGAGGTTCCTGATTGTATGCCGAAATGCACGGGGCTGGGAGTGATTGGGGACACAGGGCTGTGCGATGGGGAATGCAGAGACGCATGACTTTGCAAGATGCCGGCAGACTCCATCTCCCACCCCCCGCGCCCTCCGTCAAACACTCAACTCCAAGGTGTCGGGTGCGCTGCGAAGTGTGGGTGACAGCGAGCTGGCTGCCAAGTTCGACGAGGCGCGCACGGTTATCAAACGCGACGTCATCTTCGCGGCGTCCCTGTACCTGTAATGCGCTGTCATATGTCATCCTGTGTGAAAGCCCGTGTGCGTACAGCAGGATTGTCCCTGTGTATTCCGTCCCGCTAGATGGAGCAGCTCTGCGGGTTGTAGGACCGACAACAACAGCGGTGACCTAATGGCACCGTCGGCGATCGCGTTGTACAGAGCCTGTACGTATGCGAGGCAAACCCAACCCCCTCGTGCCCTGTGCAACATAGCCATAGCTCTTCGCTTGCAGCCGCTGCTGTCCAGGCGCGTGTTGCGTACTGCAGCAGGGCGCCGGCAGCACAGTCAAGAGTCACCTGCTGACTGCGACCCAAGTGACTGGCGGCCCGCTCGGCGGACCCCTTGTGCGGGTCAATTATGGTTTTTTGGGGGACATTATAGTTTGCAATACTGCAATGGACTGAGCAGCAGCCCAGGATGCAGGTTATCGGGGCCCAGTGGCGGGGCGCAGCCTGCGGGATCGCTGGAGCGGCCCATAGGCATCGAAGGATCACAGGTATGTATGAACCAGGCGCTCGCGCTCGCAGCTGTCACGCCCCAGATCAGTGCACGCAACAACTCGACCCACCCGATCCCCCTGTCCATGCGCTTCGTCGCAGCCCGCCTGTCAGCTAATCGCCTGACACATTGCGCATTGCTGCTGCCAGGTGAGTGCTTGCCGCGAGTGAGATATGCGCTGCGACGCTTGCCGTGCCCTCACTCGCCGCTTGCCCGCTCCGGGCGTGCAGCTGCCTGTGCAGCGCGGCCAGACGCAACACCGTGCCACGCCCCCCAGGCCAACGCGTGGCGCGTACGAGAGCGGTTGAGGCAAGGGGTAGCTCGGGCGACAAGCCGCAGGAGCACCAGCAGCAGCAGGTGGATGGTAGCGATGCTGAGGTACTTGAACCTGCGGGCGAGGGTGCAGAGCAGGCAGCGGCATTGCCGCGTCAGCAGCAGGCACACCAGGTGCAGCTGCAGGCGCAGGAGCAGGTGCAGACACCAGCGGTTGTGCGAGACGACGAGGCGGCAGCCGCGGCGGCCGCGCTTGGTGGCAGCGATGGCGACGACGGCCAGGGGGATCCCGGCTGGAGCCTGCGCCGTGCGATGGCGCCGGTGCTGGAGCTGTGCGGTGCTGTCGCCGCCGCCGCGTCCGGCGCATGGCGACGGTGGTACCTGCGGCTTCCATTGCTGCTGGGCGGGGGCCTGCTGGCATTTGCGGCGGCCCTGGGGCTGCTGCTGGCGCCGCTACTGGAGCGGCTGGTGCTGCCGGGCCTGGTGTCCCAGGGGCGCGAGCTCATGCAGCGCGAGGTGGGCCCAGGCAGCAACCGCTGTGCCAGAGATTCGCCACGTGTGACAGCACATGTCCGTGTCGCAAGTGTTGCTGCCTGACACGGCACCTTTTGCCGGTTGGGCCTGCTGACGGGCATCACCTGCTTCCACCCCACAGCCTGCGCCAGCTGCCAACGCAGCTCACAGCCATTCACCCCGCTGCTGCTGCCTGCCGTCCAACAACCACGCCCCCGTGTCAGATCCGCGTCGGCGGCGTGCAGCACGTGAGCCTGGTGGGCGGCCTGCTGGGCCTGCGGCCCCTCCTGGCGCTGCGTGACATCTACGTGGGCCCGGGCCCTGTGGAGCGCAGCAGCGCGGAAGTCGGCGTCGTTGCGCTGACCTTCGCGCCGCTGACGTCACTGGCGCGCGGCGAGGCGGTGCTTGGGGTGCAGCTGCGGGGCGCCGTGGTGACGGCGGTGCAGGCGGCCAACCTGTCGTGGCTGGGGTACCCCCAGGACACAGTGCCCTCCAGCAGGGACCTGCTGCCAGGCCTGAGCAGCGGCGGCGGCGGCGGCGGTAGCGGCGGAGAGGGCGCAGGTGCGGCCTTCGATAACAGCGAGCCCTCGGCGGCGCAGGGGCAGGCGCAGGCCCGCGCATCTGGTGCAGCGGGCCGCTCGCCGCCGCTTGCGTCGCTGTCGGCGCCGCAGCCGCCAGGGAGGCAACGCGGGGGCGCCGGGACGCTGGAGCGGACAGGCGCTGCGGCTTTGCGGCCGAAGCAGCAGCGGCAAGAGCAGGCGGGACGGGAGCAGCAGCGGCCGTCGCCGGGTGCGGTGCCTGCAGACCCCAGCGGCAGCCAGAGTGACGCCACCGCGGAAGAGGACAGTGACCAGCAGCTGTGGGAGCGCCGCGGGTCTCACGCCCAGGCTGGCACCAGCAGCGCCTCTGATACGCCAGACCTGGAGTCGACCCTGCGCTGGCGGTGGCGCAAAAAGGGGGAGGGGCGCGGCGCGCCTCTCCCGCAGAACGGGGGCGCTGCGCGGCTAGCGCCTGGGCGCGAGGGGGTGCGGCTGCTGGGCTCACGGCTGGCGCTGCCACAGAGCGCTGCGGAGACCGAGGAGGTTGGCGGTGAGGTCAGGCAGCGACCCTCGCAGCAGCAGCAGAAGCAGCAGCAGCAGCAGAAGCAGCAGCAGCAGCAGCAGCAGCAGCAGCAGGGGCAGGGGCAGGGGCAGGGGAAGCGGCAACAGGTATTGTCTTCCGCACCAGGCTCACATGATGCGGCGTCGTCCGAGCCCGTTGAACTCCATGATGGCGGAGGCAGCAGCGAAGGCGGCAGCAGCCAGGTGGCTAGCAGCAGCAGGGGGCACGATGGCTTGTCCTCCTGGGAGCAGGAGGCCCTTGGAGGCATGGTAGGTGCCAGACAGCAGCAGCCGCAGCAGCAGCAGCAGCAGCAGCAGCAGCAGCAGCAGCAGCAGCAGCAGCAGCAGCGGCAACAGCAACAGCATCAGCAACAGCAACAGCAACAGCAACAGATAAAGCAAGAACAGCAGCAGTGGCACTTGCGGCAGCGGGAGGTTGGAAGTCAACCGCAGAACAGCCGGTCGGGGTTGCCCAAATCCCACGCGCTGTCTTCGCCGACAGCCAGCGATGACGAGTGGAGTGGCACCACGAGCGGCGAGGCGGGTGGGGCTGCGGCCAGACGGGTGGGGGTGGCCCCTACCACGGAAGCGTCCGCGGTGTCTGACAGCGATGTGCAGGGCAGCAGCGACGGGTCAGCGGAGGTTTCACCTGCAGCGACGGCCGCTGTCGCGGAAACGGCGGTGATGGTGCCGTCGGAACCACCAGGCGGCGGCGCGGACCGCTCGACGGCAGCGTTGAGCACGGCGGCCCAGGCCCCAGTGCCGGAGCCCCCTGCCGGCCCCGCGCGCCCCCCTCTGGTGGTGCAGCCCTACATGAGAGTGCCGCCCCCCTCCCTGGCGGAGCGGGCCGGCAGCTTCCTGGCCGGGCGCGCTGCGCACGCCGCCTCTGGCGCCCTGGCGGTCGCCTCGCGTGCTGCGGCGCGTGCGGGCGGCGCGCTGGCCGCGCGCCTGCCGCCGGTCCACCTGGGGCGCATCACGCTGGCGGACGGGCGGTTGAACGCGGTCGTGTTTGGGGAGCCCATCCCCCGCGTCGTGGAGGGCATCGGCGCCATGGCGCGGCTGGCGGCAGGGTACCAGCGCTTTGAGCTGGACCTGGAGGGAGCGGCGCGCGCGCGCGACCCGCGCAGCATCAAGTGCACCGTGGTGTCGCCCCACAGCAAGCGCCACCTGCGGTACGTGACGCCCGGCGTGGGGCCGACGCTCGCGGGGCCGGCGCGGCGGTTCACATGCGACGTGCTGCCGCGGCCGAGCGCGGAGGACGCGGAGGTCGCTGCTGCGGCTGCGGCAGGCGACGGACCGGAGGGTGCCTTGGCGCTGGGCGGCGGCGAGGAGGGCGGGGAGGTGTGGGCAGACGGCGGGGCAGTAGGGTCAGGGCGCAGGGATGAGGCGGCGTCTGCTGGGACGGCGCTGCTGACGCGTCAGCCGCCGGCGCAGGACCCTTCCTTTCACTCCTATCCCCACCAGCAGCAGCAGCCGCAGCAGCACCAGCAGCAGCAGCAGCAGCAGCAGCAGGAGCAGCAGCAGGAGCAGCAGCAGCAGCAGCAGCAGCAGCAGGAGCAACAGCCTCAGGGGCACGAAGGAACCCCGGTGGCGGCGGCTGTGGCGGCAGCAAGCGACGTGGACGGATTGGTGGGCAATGGCAGCCCTCCTGGGGTGGTGATGCCGTGGGAGCAGCACCATCATAGCCATCACCAGCAGCATGCGGGGGCGGAGGACGACCCACATTGGCAGGAGCTGGCCCGGCTGCAGCAGCAGGAGCGTTTCCCGCGGCAGCAGGCGCTGCAGCGGCAGCCATCATCACAACGGCAAGTCCAGCAGCAGCCCCTGCAGCAGCAGCAACAGCAGCAGCAGCCCCTGCAGCAGCAGCAACAGCAGCAACAGCAGCAACAGCAGCAACAGCAGCAACAGCAGCAACAGCAGCAACAGCAGCAACAGCAGCAACAGCAGCAACAGCAGCAGCAGCAGCAGGAGGAGGACACAGATGATGAGGGCTCCCAGGCCGGGCCGCAGGGAGCCTCGCAAGCAGCCGGCAGCGGCGGCGGGGGCCCCTTGGCGCCGCCACCATATGTGGCGCCCGAGCCGCTGCACCTGGGCCCCACCGGCCAGGCAGCATTCAACCATACGGTCCACTTCCAAGCCGACCTGCCGCCCTCAGAGGCAGCCGCGCCGCCCCCTGGCCCTGGCAGTGGGGGCCGGCTGCGCGTCAAGGTGTCCCACGTCATGCCCGCCCAGCCTGACGGCGCGATGGACCTCCGCATATCTGTGTTTGGCCGCGGCCTCCACGCCCCCCTGATAGACCGCCTGGTGGAGCTGCCGATGGACATCAACGCGGGCGTGGTGGACGGGGACTTCCACGTGCGCGCCTACGACACGCCCACGTGGGACTTCCCCGCCATCACAGGGAAGATTGCGTGCTCAGGTGAGTGGCCGCTGAACGGTCGCGGTTGAGTCGCTGTGCCTGGGATGACAGCAAGCGATATGGGGTTGCGCTCTGGCTCCAGTGGGGCGCATTTGGGGTTGTTCAGTTAATGGCACACTAATGTCGTGGTTGTACGCGCCCGCCTGGTAACGTCTGCCACGGCCTCGCTGCGCTCTCCACTTCTCAACCCGTGCACTGGCCTATGCACTAAGCCGCCGGCCCCCCACCGCGCCTTGGCCGTGTCAGGCGTGGACCTGCACTTTTGGGACGCCCCTGACGACATCCTGGGGGCCTCCATGGACCTCGTGTTTGAGGGGGACAGGGTCTACCTGCACAGCGCACGCGGCCACTTTGGGGCGGTGCCGCTGAGGGTGAGGCCGCGCCTGGGGGATGGCGGCAGAGTGTGGGGGTGGCGGTGCAGCACGTGGGCGGGGGGTAACGCCTGGTGTGCCTGCACGCCACTCTGTGCGCAGCTGTCGTGGCTTGTGGGCCGCTGCTGATCAATCTCCCTGCCAAACCCCGCCACGCCCCTCCGACCCCGTGCTGCCCCCACTCCTTGCCCTGGTGCCAAGGTGAGCGGTGACCTGGACCTCAACCCCAAGGGGGGCTCCTACCGCATCCAGGCCAACGTGCCGCCGGTGGAGGTGAACGCGCTGCGCGCAACACTGGCGGTGCGGCCCATCCCCTTCCCCGTAGCGGGCGCCGTGCGCGGGGTGCTGCACTGCACGGGGCCCCTGGAGAAGCCCATCTTTTCAGGTGAGAGCCGCACAGTAGTTTTGGGTAGGGGGCGAAGCAGCGCAGTGGGCAAGGAAGGGGGTTCCGGGCCCATGTGATGCACACGAGCGCCGGCCTGCTGGCACCACGCAGCTGGGGTGCGATGCGAGGTACTGGTCGGGCCGCCCAGGGGGCTGCCCTCGCGGCCAGGCGGTCCCAACACTGGCCCGCCTCGTGAGCGCAATGTCATCTTGTTGCCGGCTTGCCCTGAAACCCCCCGCATGCCGTCGCGCCCCTCCCCGTCCCTCCTTCCCCTGCCGCAGGCTCCGCCAGCGCGGTGCGGCCGACGCCGGCGATGCTTGCGGGCGTTGAGGACACGCCGGCCCTGCGCGTTCTGCTGGCGGATCCCTCCGCTGTGGTGGCGTACGACCACGTTGCGGCGGGGGCGGCTGCGGGAGTCTTCACGCTGGACCTCTCAACAGAGATGTTCGTGCTGCACTCGGGGCAGGTGATTGATTGTGTGTGTGTGTGTGTGTGTGTGTGTGTGTGTGTGTGCGTGTGTGTGTGTGTGCGTGTGTGCGTGTGCGTGCGTGCGTGCGTG